CCAAAGGTGTCCAAAACTACCATCATAGGAGCAAGATCCCGATTAAAGGCAGATCGTAGCCATTCTTATTCCATCCACTTTCCCTCAGTTTGTCTTTTGAAACGACAACTACGAATTCTCACCTGGGCACACCTACCAACTCCACCATTGTAACGACGGAACGGCACACATTGCTTCTGTAAAGTGACGTCCTTCAAATACTTGGTGGCTTTTCGGATATGCATACCCTTAATGGCCTGGGCAGTTTCACGAGTGTTCTAAGTATAAATAACATAAGCTGTGAGTTAACCGTATTTTCAGAAACCTCAATTTAAAAAGTAAACATTATCAGATTTTCAAAATATGAACATTTATCAACAGCTAAAACCTTTCTTTGGAAGTGAGGTAAAACAATGAGGAAAAAAAATCTGTGATTAAGAGCCAAGGACGCTTGGTTTGAAGGTGGAGAAAAATGATTCCAAAAACCATTTATTCACTATTAACATGCTCTCCATCATCTTGCAAACAATTACATGTCCCAGATCTTGGTCTGTATACTAGGTTCTCAGGTAGTTTCACCCAATTCCACAAATCCTAAATCAAAGTGCTCATTATATACTGATGATTACCCACCAAAAGGTGGCTGCTCAGAATTGATTTATTTTCACGGTAAATCCAAAGGTGTCCTAAGAAACACATCATCGCAGCTACCTTTTTTAGGATGGTTAAGAACTCGCGGAACTCTTTTAGAGCATAACTATGATTCACATACCTTAAAGTGAACACGAAGATTTGAACCTCTTGATTTGCATGCTAGAAAATAAACAAGTTTTGGTTAACGTTGAGTATCTTATTGTCTTGCTCCAAAATAAGGAATGTTTCTTGTTCACTTACATTTTGTGGGGTTTTCTGGGTCAAGTGAATAGCGAACCATTTTTAGAGGTCACCTGAAAGGGAGCAAGAACCATTCTGTTAATCTATGTTTACAGCGGCATATAGTTTATACAAGTCTTAAGTACTACCCCCGCGGCTGCTCAGAGAGTAATTGTTTTCATGATTAATCCAAAGGTGTCCTAAGAAACAACATCATTGCAGCCATCCTTCTCTGTCCAGTTTTCTTCCCTTTTGTAACTACCAGTGACTACAGAAGTGCTGACATCAGACTAGTGAAACGGACTTCGTCAGCCCTCTTGCCTTCTGGAAGAAAACA